CAGCCAGCCCTCCCACCACTGTGTGGTGAGTGTTTTGTTTGTTCATTATTTGCTATTAAACTACAGTATAAATAATGTCAACCCATTCATGACTGCATATTAGAATGGCTATTCGGACAGGTATTGGACGGTGACATCATATGTTTACTCTTGAACACAGCAAAGAATCAAACATTTCTGCTACTGATAATAATAACAATAGTAATAATAATAATAATAATAAATACGATAGAATTGAAGAAGGAAATTGTACAAAAATACGAGGGTTGAAGCAATAGTGGAGGAAGTGGTTGACACATCGTCAGTGTGGCTTTGTTTATGCTGGAATGAGCATTAGTCTCCATGCTCTTCCAAACAGTTCACAATAATTCATTGTGTTAGGTACTTGTAGATTGAGTGCGACTGGAGTGGTTGAGGCAATGTTTGAGGCAGTGGTTGAGGCAGTGGTTGAGGCAGTGGTTGAGGCAGTGGTTGAGGGAGCGGTTGAGGCAATGGTTGAGGCAGTGGTAGAGGCAGTGGTTGAGGCAGCTGGTGAGACAGCGGGTGAGGCAGTAGGTGAGGCAGTGGGTGATCCAATGGTAGAGGCAGCAGTTGAGGCAGTGGTATTTAACCTTTTCACGGTTTCGTCCGTACTAGTACGGCTTATGCACCAGGGTTTTTGACGTACTAGTACGCCTAAATTCTAGCGCCCTCAAATCTAGTGAGAGAAAGCTGGTAGGCCTACATTTGAAAGAATGGGTCTATGCGGTCAGTGTGTGCGGTATAAAAAAAAATCCTGCAGCACACAGTGCGTAATGAGAAAAAAAAAACTGACCCTGTTTTTGGATTAAAACAGCAACTTTGCACTGTATTTTTGTATGGTATTTATTGTTTTATTCTAGTTTTCTGGTCTCATTTTATAGAATGGAAGATATATTACAGAAATTGAGATGATTTTGACTGGTTTTACAAAGTAAGTACCTTGAAATTGAGCTCAAAGTAGCAGAAATGTTCGATTTTTACCGAAGTTCAAAAGTAAACTAATCATGCTATGCGTCCAATACACGTGAACTGGTGAGTCTAATATTCTTTCACAAGTGCGCTGATATTATGTATATCATTTCTACACTAATGCAGTAGTCTGCATAACAGTAAATCTTCTATTTTTTTGTGAGAATAAAAATTCAAAGTGGAAAGCAAAAGAATGTAAGAGGGGCATGGGGACATGACTAATGAACAGAGGAAATTTTATTTTAGTGCCAGGAATGTCTTTCTTATTTATTCTGGACCCTGCTTGGAAATTGGCATCTTTTGAAATTTGTGTGAAATTGGCAAAATTGCTAAATTCTGACCACTTTATTGGATAGTTGAAATCGGTAAATGGGTGGTTTCTTGTACTCATTCGATAGAAAAAAATGGAATTCTAGTGAAATAGTTATGATTTTTGTCGACAAGTACACTGGAATTGGCCGAAAATAGGGCTCAAGGTGGGCAAAATCGCCAATGCGTAAACATCGTTGAGAATGCTAACTTTGCGAGAGTATGATTCCGTAAGTTTTACATCAAGTTTCATACTTTTGGTGTCATTATGATCGGGAAAGGATTCTCTATCTTTTCATAAGATTTTTTTGTTGTTTTTTTTTTGTTTGTTTTTTTGAAATTTGGCCGACCCTGAGAACAAGTGTCTGATAGGGTCTGTCGACCCTGAAAGGGTTAATAACATATATGTTATTAATAATAATAGTGCATATTTTTTTTATTATTATTATTATTATTATTATTAATATGTATGCTATTAAATACCACTGCCTCAACCACTGCCTCAACTGCTGTCTCACCCACTGCCTCAACCACTGCCTCAACCACTGCCTCACCCACTGTCTCAACTACTGCCTCAACCGCTGCTTCAACCACTGCCTCAACCATTGCATCAACCACTGCCTCTACCACTCCAGTCACACTCAATCTACAAGCACCAAACACAATGAATTATTGTGAAATGTTTGGAAGAACATGGAGACTAATGCTCACTCCAGCATAAACAAAGCCACACTGACGATGTGTCAACGACTTCCTCCACTATTGCTTCAACCTCGTATTTTTGTACAGTTTCCTTCCTCAATTCTATCGTATTTATTATTATTATTATTATTATTATTATTATTATTATTATTATTATTATTATTATTATTATTGCTATTGTTATTATTAGCAGTAGCAGGAATGTTTGATTCTTTTCTGTGTTCAAGAGTAAACATATGATGTCTCCGTCCAATACCTGTCCGAATAGCCATTCCAATATGCAGTCATGAATGGGTTGACATTATTTATACTGTAGTTTAACCCTTTCAGGGTCCAAGGTTCAAATCTGAAGTGGTGCCCCAGTGTCCAAGAATTTTCAAAAAAAAATTTGTTATTTTTTCTTATGAAATCGTAGAGAATCTTTTTGTGAAGGTAATAAAACAAAAAGTACGAAATTTGGTGGAAAATTGAGGAAATTAGCTCTCGCGAATTTTGATGTGTCAGCGATATTTATGAATCGGCGATTTTGCCGACTTTGACTCCCATTTTAGGCCAATTACATTATTCCAATCAACCAAATTCTTAGCTATTTCACTAGTACAGTGGACCCCCGCTTAACGATCACCTCCCAATGCGACCAATTATGTAAGTGTATTTATGTAAGTGCGTTTGTACGTGTATGTTTGGGGGTCTGAAATGGACTAATCTACTTCACAATATTCCTTATGGGAAAAAATTCGGTCAGTACTGGCACCTGAACATACTTACTGGAATGAAAAAAGTTCGTTAACCGGGGGTCCACTGTATTACTTCTATTCTATCGATTGAGCACAAGAAATCGCCAAGTCAACTGTTTCAACTACAAAATAAAGTGATCGGAAATTGTTAATTTGGCCAATTTAACACAAAGTTCAAAATATTCCAATTTCAAAATAGGCTCCAGAATAAACAATGTAGGTATTCCTGGAACTAAACTAACATTTCCTCTGTTCATTAGTTACATTTTGAGGCTTTACAAATAAATTCCATTTTGATTTTTTATTCACATAATGAATTGAATATCGGCAAAAATTTAACATTTCCGCTACTTTGAGCTCAGTTTCAAGCCATTTCCAGTGCTAAAACCAATCAAAATCATCTCTATTTCTGTAATATGTCTTCCATTCTATCAAATGAGACCAAGAAATCGCAAATACAACTATAAAAAACATACGAAAAAACACTGCAAAGTCGCTGTTTTAATCGAAAAATCATGATTTCAGTTTTTTCTCTCATTATACACAGTGTGCTGCAGGATCTGTTTTATGTGGTGCACACATACCACATAGATGTATTCTCTCATATCTAGGCCCAAATGTACCACTCACAGTTTATCAGAGTGAGCTGAGCTCATGATGTAGATCTACGGTTTGGACCCTGAACGTAAAGCCGTAGATCTACGGGACGGACCCTGAAAGGGTTAATAGCAAATAATGAACAAACAAAACACTCACCACACAGTGGTGGGAGGGCTGGCTGCCAGTTGCGGGGGTCGGAGGGAGGGTAGTAGGGACTTGCAGTGGTTGAGGCAGGGGTAGAGGCAGTGGTATTTATAACATACATGTTATTAAACCATAACATGTATGTATTTAGTACAATTTACGACGTTTTCATGTATTTTATGATTGTTAATGGTTCAACAAGTTAAGGAAGCAGTATTGTATTATATTTCTCTACAATATATTGGGGCACCAAATATTCGCGATTTTTCAACATTCGCGAGGCTCTTGATCCCCTAAGTCTCGTGAATGTTGAGGGAGACCTGTATGAAAGAATACCAGGTGAGCAGCATTCGCCGCTGTTGTTATATGCGGCTCATTTTCTGCCAACTTTGTGCCTCTATATCTTGGAAAGTACTGATGTCAAAAAAAAAAATTTAGGGTTAAAACACTCGGTAAAATACGTAATCCTAACATTTTTTTGACATAGAATGACACGTTTCAGAAATTGGCTTGCAACAGTCAAAGGGTTAAATAACAGTACATACCAGTGTAGGGTAATAATACACAAAACTGCCATTATGCCAACTGTATATTTGTTTTGGTCATGTTGTAATACAAATGTACTCTTATAAAATGGTAAAATCAATAAACTTAAAAACATGAACATGAAGTATTTTTAAAACACATGGAAAAAACATTACAAATCAATATGCAGTTCTAGATGTAGATACACCCACTTGAGACAGTGAGTATAAAAAGAGCATTGGCCAATCACAACATGAAACTGCCAAACACACTGATTAGGATTTAGCAGATGTAGAATAATTAGCTATATACTGGTGAATGAGAGCCATGCATAATGTGTTATTTTTGTAACTAATAGTGTTAGTGTGTTTTTCAGTACTGTTTCACATAAATTTAACACATTTTTAGCTCATTTTAGGCAGAACTTCCCCCCCCCCCCAATTAACCAGTTGGAATTGAGGGGCATCCTTGACACTGGAGCATCTTGTTGGCTGTAAAATACATAAACTTATCATAAGTATGTATGTAAACAAAAATTATAGAGTTCACCACAACCCGTGGTATTTGGCATCTACTGTAGGTCATGAAATGTATCACCAGCATGTACAGGGGGACTACTGTACTTGTTGTTTACCCAGATCTGGAAGATTATGCAGTTGTGAAGTGGAATTGGCAGGAAGATAAATAATTTGTTATAGAATCTTCTGTGGGTCATTTCACAAGTGCAAGATGTTCATTAACCTGAAATATTACTGCACAATTCTTTTTGTATCTGCCTTTGTATCTCACTCTATAACATTACTAAAAAAAAATCAGTTATTGTGTCCTTGTAGATGTGAAGTATAACAAAAATGCTGTATTGCATAAACAATTCTATATAAAGAGCTTGAGCTTTGCACGTGCAATTTTGTCCTTGGCATTTCTGTCAAGAATACAATAAAAGATTCGTATTTTATTTAATATTATTCAGTGACAGTTCTTTTTCTTTCCCAGAGCTAAACGTGAAACAGCACGGGAAGTAGGGGGTCGCTTTGTAATGTCTCACATGTGGGATTTGGAGGATCCTCGTCTTCTTGTGTGTGAAGCCAAGAGTCTTCTTAGTTCCAAGACACAGAGGGATCATTACCTAGCATCAACTGCCAAGGATGACAGGGTAAGTAGATGAGGACACATTTTCTATTCCCAGGCTATTTCTCCTGTCAGGTGGCTGTTAGGATTCAACCAAGATTCAGTAAGAAAAATGTCTGGACATTCTGATGATGCATAGGCAAATAATTCATCCTTATTTGGAAAATACTTGAAGGATTTATGTAGAAAACTTTTAAGAAACCCTGCTGGTCTTCTCCAGTTGGGATAATTAGTTTAAATTCCTGGTTACCTGACTATTCAATTGAAGCCCCTCCATGCCTGATATCCCCCTTCGCCCTCACTCTTATCTTCACAATATGTAATCCTTCTTGCAAGATTAATCCTAATCTTGTACAGCAATATCTTACAAAGTATGGTTAATGCATGTCAAAATTGTACCGTACTCTGCAATACCGGACTGATCAAGGTATTATTCTACAGCAATACCTTGCATAGTATAGTTTTGAACAGTATGGGCTTTGATATATACTAATGTGGTTTATAAATTTAATAAGTTTAATAATATAAATTTTAATTAAGTGCATTACACAATGACATTGGACTGCTGCTATGTATGTACCAGTCCAGTGCGATGCAAACATCAGTAACACTTCAAACTCCTTGCAGTAAAGTTGTGTGTAGTCTTAAACAGTACTTTTTTTTTTTTTTAACATGCTGGAAATCTCCCACCAAGGCAGGGTGACCCAAAAAAGAAAGAAACGCTTTCACCATCATTAACACTTAATCACTGTCTTTGCAGAGGCACTCAGATATGACAGTTCAGATGTCACTCTTAACAGCAGATATCCCAAACCCCTCCTTTAAACTGTAGGCATTGTACTGATACCCCTTTTATACACAGATATGAGTGATGTGTAAAGGTAGAAAGTTGAAAGTGAACATACATAAGAGTAACAATTTAGATAAAGAAAAATTGGATATCACATTGGAGGGAGTATGGAAAAAGTGAATGTTTTCAGATATTTGGGACTTGACTTACCAGTGGATGGGTTTATGAAGGATGAGGTTAACCATAGAATTAATTCTGAAGTGAATTGTGCCCCTTGATCCGACAGAATTTCATGAGGTATACCTACATGTGAAAAAATAGAAAATAAGGCTTCTTCGACCTCTGTGGATGAAATGGATTTTAAGGGTACCGCCTCTTGGAAGCTGGATGCATAGTCAATCATAGTCAGAATATATTTATGACCTCCTGATGAGCGAGGGGTGATAGGACCAACTATATCTACTGCAACTCTTGCAAAAGGAACTGAGAAAATTGGCATCTTTACCATAGGAACTCTCTTAGTTCTACCTTTTTGTGAGGAAAGTTGACATACGTGACATGATCTACAGTACTTGTAGATGCCTGAGGACATACTAGGCCAGAAATATAGGTCTTTGATCTTATTATAGGTTTTCCTGTGTAAAAAATAGCCAGAGACTGGTAGGTCATGAGAAATCTTGAAAATAGTTTCCCGGCAATCCCTCGGAATGACTAACAGATTTCGACTCAAGTCATTGGGTTTATCCGCTGACACTATAGTCTTGTACAGAAGATCATGTTTGAACTCAAACGTATAAGAAAATTTCTTTCTTTGCATCACGTTGCCATTTAAAGCTAACTTACGAATTTCCTCTAAGGAAGGACAAGTCTTTTGAAGACCCTCTAAATCAATGTGAGACAGCTCAGTAGGTTTTCTGTTAGAAAGAACTAATGGGTTGATAGGTTTTACCTTAGACTGAGCTCTGGTATGGACGTTAATCGTGTCCTGTTGCTGAAAAGAGTTTGTCACACTTAGTTTTTCACTGGTTTCTGCATTTTCCGTTTTGGTGACTAACTTACAAGGGGGTTCCCGGAGTTTCATAACTATCAGCTCTCTGATTTAAGTTACCCAACTGAATCACTTCTGGAGCTATCTGTGAAGAAACAGAAGTAATAGGTTCCATCCCTTTCTTTGAAACTTCCAAATTCCAGACAGTCTCTTTCAGATGGGAAAGTATCCCCTTGTATGTTCCCAACCAAAACAGAACATGAAGTTATTGGGGCAACTACTGCATCTACCCATCCTGAGAACCATTTGCACCTTATGAAACATCTGACTGTTGGAAAAAAATCACTTCTTCCTAAATGGTCAGTTAATTTAGTGGACTTACAACGTGATGAATCTAGGTTAGGGAAAAGCTTACTCGAGATAACAATACAGGAACATCCGGTGTCTCTAAGAATTGTTGACACATTCATGCCATTGACTGTACCTTTACTAAAAGGTGCGTTGATATTAGATTTGGTGAAACACTTACTGATATTCTCACCTTTTTTTTCTTAGGACAGTCGGGCCATCTATGGCCACATTCATTACAGTTGAAACACTTTACTGTGAAGGCCGTGGAATTCTTCGGTACGGAGGTTTTGGATCCCTCAGATTGCTTAGGCACAACAGACTTATATCTGCTACCCTCTGTAGGGTAGTTATTATGAGCACACGCACATATATCAGCAGCTTGTGCCATTTCTGCAGCCGTATGAATGTTTCTTTAATGAATATTCGTAAATCAGAGTTTACAGAAGAAAGGAATTGATCTCTTACCATCAGGTCTCGTAAAGATTCGAAATCGTGGTCGACCTTAGCACTATCAATCCACGAATCAAATAATCTGAAAAGTGTTGTTAAGAATTGCATATGTAATTTTGATTTGGAATTATTTTAATGTGTCTAAACTCCGACCTGTAATGATGAGTGGTTTTCTTGAAAGCCTGAAGTATAGCATTCTTCAGCAGGCTATAATTAGTAATAACATCAGAAAGTAGAGTGGAATAGACATTTAATGCTGAACCTGACAGTAATAAGCCATGCCTAGTAGCCCAAGAATCTGACGGCCATTCACAGAGAGTGGCAGTACTCTCGAATCTGGCAATATATGCTGAGATGTCATCTTGCTCTGAAAAAGGTGGAATCTGTTGCATCCTAATATTTGATTCTTGGGAAGGGTATTCTAGTACCCCTTCATCTATTTTCTGCTTAGATAGTTCTATCTTCTTGGCTTCTAATTCCAACCTTAACTTTTCCAACTCCCTCTGCTTAGCCTGTTCTTCAATTTCCTTCATTTTGAAGGCTACCTCTCTCGCCTGAACTCTATCTTCTCTAGCTATCCTTTCCTGTTCTTGTTTCTCTTCCCGAGCTAGTCTTTTCTCTTCGAGAGCTAATCTTTCCTGTTCCTTTTTCTCCTCTCGAGCTAGTCTTTCCTGTTCTTTTTTCTCCTCTCGAGCTAGTCTTTCCTGTTCCTTTTTCTCCTCTCGAGCTAGTCTTTCCTGTTACTTTTTCTCTTCAATAGCCATTTTAGCAGTAATATAACTATCAAGGTTCTGTCCAGTAAATCCCATTTCCTTTCCAGCTTTCAACCAGAAATCTAAGGAATCCATCTTGTAAAAAGAAATATTACACAGCAAACTTGAACTGTCTTAACTAACAGGAACGTCTGTTGCAAAAGTGGGACACAGTCCTCACACTTTTGACTTCCCAAAGAAGAAATTGCTCTAAGTTTTTCTCCCTGGAAGAGCACACTTGTGGGCTCTATAGCCTTCACTAAGCTAAAAACGCACGGTTCACACAGGAGGGGTTATTATCAAAGTTCCCCAGGTCCAACAAATAGGCAAACTTCTAAACCGAACCCTAGAACCAAACAACGGTAAGTCAACCAGACTACCAGTAATGACTTGACACCTCAACTAACTCACCCTTTTCTATCTTAAATGTTATTCTCACAACCAGTTGAACCATCAGGACAATGTTGCTTCAAGAGTCGTATCCTGGCAAGGTCACCATTGTCAGTGGAATGCCTTCAATCTGAACAAAATACTAATGGAAAAATAAATAAATAAAGAAACCACTCTAGGAAAAATAAGAATAATGACTTTTGAGGATTTTACTTAAAATTTAAATACGTATAATAAAAATGGCCTCTGGTTCTGGTGCTGTAGTTGGGCAGGAGTAGGTAAGGCCCTGGAAAAATCTCTGATGTTAAAGATGTAGGTTATCCTGGGCGGATGGTAACAGTCCAATGTTTTGGAATCTCCTCTACCACTTGGTGGGAGCACCACAAGTAGAATAAATAAGGGCCGGTAGTAGTCGAATAATGTTAATAAGTCCAATTAACAATTGTCTTGCTCCTTTATCTGGCGTCTATCCTGGATGACCACGCCAGGAACAGAGCTGGTAATAAGAAAAAATAAACTGGTTACCAATGGTTATGATAATATAACATTTAAGAATGGAAAAGAGTGGTAAATGCCAAAATCATTACTGGTAACCAGCAAACAAAAGAAAGCAACGAGCAGTAATACTCCTGGTAGATCACCTTACCTGATCAGGAGAAGAGTGGAGGTGAAATGACTCTCCATACTTCAACCCACACCAGGTAAGGTCAACACTACCAGGAGTAGAAATTGAAACAAACCAGACACCAGGAACTAAGAGTTTTGCCCCAGCCCGCTAGAGGGGGGGGGGGCACGACGTAACTCGCTAATGGTTTCTGGTTGCCTGAACAACCCTAACCCCACTTACAACCCACTTTTCCCTCACACTAACATACATTGCCACTCCACCACCCTTCCTGTTGACCCTATCAATATGGAATAGTTTATAACCCTGTATGTTGCATTCAGAGGGCATTTCAATATCTTTCAAGTTGAACCAGGTCTCTGTTATAGCAATAATATCTATATTACCTGTACTTGCAAGTATTCTTAGCTCATCTATCTTATTTCTTAGACTCCTACTATTTGTATAGTAAACCACCTTAAGGGAGCTAGTCACTCGTTGCCCTCTACTGTCACTAGTGAGTTGCATTTTTGTTGTGTCAGGTGATGCTACATATAAATTTGATCAGTTGACACCATCATATATTTCACTATACAATTTTTTTCTCATTTATAATAGGGACAGTTAAGTTTTTTATCATACCTTAAATTCCTTGTTCTTTCCTCTGGCTCTCCCTAGGCCATATAAAACTCTAAATTCAAAGTTTTTATGCATGAGCAACTTTTCTAAAACTGTTACATGTAAACCCAGGCAAAAACCACATTTTAATATTTAATTATGAATATGAATAGCATTCCATTAAGAATGTGCTATTGAAGCACACATACTGAGAGTTTTGTCTGCATTTTACAGATTTTTATACTGTATCTGTATGTGGTGAAAGTGTTGAATGATGATGAAAGTATTTTCTTTTTGGGGATTTTCTTTCTTTTTTGGGTCACCCTGCCTCGGTGGGAGACGGCCGACTTGTTGAAAAAAAAAAAAAAAAAAAATCTGTATTTTATGTATTTTTCAGCCAGCAGTTATGTTGGTGTCTCTGTTTGTGAGTCCCGATCATGGAACCATCGTGCAAGATGCTTTCCCACTCACTCCTACGTATTCACGTCTCTTGGGAGTACAAGTACCTTTCTTCTATCTTCTCAATGCTCATGATGCTGAAAAGAAGGTTTGTAATAGTAATAAAATGTTTATGTAGTCTAATTTGTTTAAAAATGTGAAGTAAGATATCATGATAATAATTATAGTGCAAATAATGCAAGTAAATGTGATAATATTTCAAGACTAATTAAAATGTCATCAAGCAAAGCCAAGTAAAAATTGTGTTGTTGAATGAAAAAATGTATTGTTTTTTAGGTACGTCAACAGACAGGCTATTTCCAGTTATTGGTAATTTAATTTGTGTATAAAGGAAGGATGCTGAAAAGTCTTAGATCCTTTATACTAATTGAGGACCAAGAGTCTTAAATATTATTGAATTTTTTTTTTTTTTCCCTGAGCTCATGAAGTACAGTGTCAGGGATTTAAGGCATTCCCAATAATTTAAGTGTTTGACCTTACGAAGGAATGAAAATTTCTCTATATTCTCCAGATATGCAAATTTGCCTGCTTTAAATAAAACTGTTCGTATACAGTAATATTCTAATATAGAAGGTAGCAGAGCCATTAAAATTATTATGTTGTTCTTTGCATTTTAAGATTTGTGTAATCCAGCCATTCATATTCTTTGCAGTTATACTATGGTTATGTAATCTTTAGGCACAATATGATGATGTGTAAGACTGAAGTAGGCAGTAAAGTATTTGAAGAGATCAAGGAATACACTGTAAATATTTTGGGTTACCATAATGGAGCAGTTAGATGAAAAGTAAATAGTCAAGAGAGACAAGTACAAGGTAGAAAATGTATTGGGTCCTTAGAACAGTTTTGAGAAGAAATGTATATTCCTTCTTATCTTAGACTATAGGGGCAAAACAATATGATGTGAAAGAGATGAATCTCAGATCCATGCTTCTAAAATTATATACAGTGGAACCTCGGCTTACGAACATGCCACCCTGCGTACTTTTCAGGATACGAACAGTCGTTCGATCGATTTTTTGCTTCTGGATACAAACAAAATTTCAGGACGTGAACTTCCCCCTCAAGGGAGGTTCCTTGGTGAGGGGCTCTTGATCTGGGGAATTGAATCTGTGCCCCAGTTCCCTAAATTAATAATAATCAGAGACATAACAGTTGCAAAAACAATAGGATTAGGAACTGCGTCACTAATGTTACAGACAGGATGTTCAGTAAGTTTAATTTTAACAACCATAGAATTGACTGGGAAAAAATAAACAAAGAGATATCAGATGTATCCTGGGAATCAAATATGAGCACCCTAAATCCCCACCAGTGCCTAGAGAAGCTGAATAGAGAAGCATACAAAGTATGTATGAAGCATGTACCATGAGGAAACCCAGAAGAACATCAGATATAGAGAGAGAGTGTAGGAGATGGGTTACGGGTTACTGAATTGCTTAAAAAAACAGATATGCTGCAACAGAGGAAAGATAGGTTTAGCCGAGAGTTCACCGAATTAGAGTAAAAACTTAGGATGTTATACTTCACAGAAGAAGTACAAACGGAACAAAGGGCTATACAGGATATTGCAAGAAACCCAAAATATTTCTATTCCTACTCAGAATCCAAGCTAAGAATTACCTGTAGAATTGGACCACTACTGAAAGGAGGTTCATATACTGACGATGAACAGGAAGTGAGTGAAATCCTAAAAGAACAGTATGAGTCGGTGTTCAGCAACCCACTAAATGACAGCAAGATAGAAAATGCAGAAATATTTTTCACTCCAGAAGAAGGCCGTGCAGACCATCTTGCTGACATTAGTACAAATCCCATAGATTTTGAGAAAGAAATGGGCAACATGCCCACTCACTCAGCACCTGGACCAGATTCATGGAATGCTGTATTTATAAAGAAGTGTAAAGTACCATTAGCATGAGCACTCAGCATTCTTTGGAGAGAAAGCTTATATCTAGGGGAAATGCCTTAAAGAGTGCAGATATAGCTCTGCTACATAAGGGAGGTAGTAGAGCACTAGCTAAAAATTACAGACCAGTAGCTCTAACTTCTCACATCATAAAAATCTTCAAAAGAGTGATGAGGTGGCAGATTACAAATTTCATGGACTAGCACAACCAGCATAACCCAAACCAGTATGGTTTTAGAGCAGGACAATCATGCCTGTAACAGCTGCTGAACCATTATGACAGAATTACGGAGGCATTGGAAGACGACTAAAATGCAGATGTGATTGACACAGATCTTGCAAAGGTGTTTAAAAAATTTTGACAAATGCGATCATGGAGTGATAGCACACAAAATGAGGGCTGTGGGCATTACTGGGAAGGTAGGCAGATGGATTTTCGGGTTCCTAACACACAGAACACAAAAAGTAGAAGTGAACAGGGCAAGATCCAGTATCAGCGAGGTCAAAAGCTCAGTGCCCTAAGGAACTGTCCTGGCACCTCTGCTGTTCCTCATCCTCAATGTGGGAGTGGTTATGGCTACCTCCACCTGTCACATGACATATATTGTTCATTCTAGAATACATATCAGGTTTCCATGTTATTTATATTGTTTATTATGTTATAAGAATTTTAATAGATAAATACACCATAGAGTTGATATTAGCAAAATTTTGAAGGAGTATTTTGTCTTGTCTCCAAACAAACTCTATACTGCCGTCGGAATCACTATGTAGTCACATACATAATGACATTTTATTCATTCTAGAGTATATATCAGGTTTCTATGTTATTTATATTGTTTAATATGTCACATCAGATGAATTTTGATAGATAAATAAGCCATAGAGTTGATATTAGGGAAATACTGGAGTATTTTGTCATGCCTGGAATTCCACTGGAACAGATTAATTCCATTTCAGTTAAGTTAACCCTTTGACTGTTTACACCGTATATATATGTCTTACGCAGCACTGTTTCTGAGGTATATACGCATAAATTCTAGCAGCTTCAAATCAAGCAGGAGAAAGCTGGTAGGCCCACATGTGAGAGAATGGGTCTCCATGGTCAGTGTGCACCATATAAAAAAAATCGGGGAGCCAGTGGTGCATTGTGGGAATGCCATTTCAGTCCTCCTTTTTCAGCATGCTTAGCGGTAAGAAATATGTGACTCTCCAGCAAATCTGGGACTCTTCTCTTCCCAAGTGATGCTCTAACAGATGGAAGTGTCAGTGAAGATTAATTTCATGATTTTGAGGAGTTTGAGACCAAAAGTAATGGAGGAGGAGGAGGAGGAAGAAGAGGAACAAGAAGAGGAGGAGGAGGAAGAGGAAGAGGAGGAGGAAGAGGAGGAGGAGAAGAGGAGGAGGAAGAGGAAGAGGAGGAGGAAGAAGAGGAAGAGGAGGAAGAGGAAGAGGAGGAGGAAGAGGAGGAGAAGAGGAAGAGGAGGAGGAGAAGAGGAGGAGGAGGAAGAGGAAGAGGAGGAAGAAGAAGAAGAAAAAGAAGAAGAAGACGACGACAACGACAAAGAAGACGAAGAAGACTATGACGACGACGTAATATTGTTCCCTTGAAGCAAGGAAAAAAAAGTCCACCCCATGACAGTGACAAGATAAGGGGAGATAACATCTGATAGGAGCTGACGTTTGATGAGCGTAAACAAGGGTGGAAGAGGGTGCAGCTGATAAGAAAAGATTAGATGACCATCACCCTTTGTTTTTGTCTGTCTATTTGTCTGTCTGTCAAGCTCCCTGTCTATCCGTCTAGCTCTCTGTCTCAGAGAGAGCCACAAGACTGTGTCATCGTCACGTTTACTCACATCTTCAAGCAGAGTATAGCACTTTGTCTGGATTTTTTGGGTTATCCTAGGTAATTTACAATTTGTATACTTGTATTTATGTGTACCTGTGAGACAGAGATAGACAAACAGATAGAAAGAGAGAGACACAGATTGAAAGAGATAGAATGATGGAGAAAGATAATTAGATAGAATGGAGGGGAAGCAGCATTCCACCCCATTGTTTTGACAGGCGGTAGGGGGAGTGAGTAATGAGATAATGTCATTTTGACAGCTGCCGACTCCTGACTCAAAACAATTATAAGCCACATACTGGCACACAAGACAAGCTTGCTGAATGAAGATAATAGCAGTTATATGTATATAGTGACTATATATGTGTATATATATTATAGAAACCAGAAGGAAGGAAGAATAGAAGGCAGGAATGAAGGAAGGATGAGATGAAAGGAAGGAAAAAAGCAAGGAAAGACAAAGGAATGTAGGAAGGTAGGAAAGGAATGCTGGAAGGTAGGTAGGAAAGGATTGCAGGAAGGTAGGAAAGGAATGCAGGAAGGTAGGAAAGGAATGCAGGAAGGTAGGAAAGGAATGCAGGAAGGTAGGAAAGGAATGCAGGAAGGCAGGAAAGGAATGCAGGAAGGTAGGAAAGAATGTAGGAGGGTAGGAAAGGAATGCAGGAAAGTAGGAAAGGAATGCAGGAAAGTAGGAAGGAAGGTAGGAAACGAATGCAGGAAGGAAGGAATGATGACACACGACCATTTACCTAGTGAAACATATTAGTAAACAGTATTTAGATAAGGCTAAAGAGGTCTTTGTGGCATTTATGGATTTGGAAAAGCCTTATGACAGGATGGATAGGGGGGCAATGTGGCAGATGTTGCAGGTGTATGGTGTAGGAGGTAGGTTACTGAAAGCAGTGAAGAGTTTTTACGAGGATAGTGAGGCTCAAGTTAGAGTATGTAGGAAAGAGGGAAATTATTTCCCAGTAAAAGTAGGCCTTAGACAAGGATGTGTGATGTCACCGTGGTTGTTTAATATATTTATAGATGGGGTTGTAAGAGAAGTAAATGCGAGGGTCTTGGCAAGAGGCGTGGAGTTAAAAGATAAAGAATCACACATAAAGTGGGAGTTGTCACAGTTGCTCTTTGCTGATGACACTGTGCTCTTGGGAGATTCTGAAGAGAAGTTGCAGAGATTGGTGGATGAATTTGGTAGGGTGTGCAAAAGAAGAAAATTGAAAGTGAATACAGGAAAGAGTAAGGTTATGAGGATAACAAAAAGATTAGGTGATGAAAGATTGGATATCAGATTGGAGGGAGAGAGTATGGAGGAGGTGAATGTATTCAGATATTTGGGAGTGGACGTGTCAGTGGATGGGTCTATGAAAGATGAGGTGAATCATAGAATTGATGAGGGGAAAAGGGTGAGTGGTGCACTTAGGAGTCTGTGGAGACAAAGAACTTTGTCCTTGGAGGCAAAGAGGGGAATGTATGAGAGTATAGTTTTACCAATGCTCTTATATGGGTGTGAAGCATGGGTGATGAATGTTGCAGTGAGGAGAAGGCTGGAGGCAGTGGAGATGTCATGTATGAGAGCAATGTGTGGTGTGAATATAATGCAGAGAATTCGTAGTTTGGAAGTTAGGAGGAGGTGCGGGATTACCAAAACTGTTGTCCAGAGGGCTGAGGAAGGGTTGTTGAGGTGGTTCGGACATGTGGAGAGAATGGAGCGAAACAGAATAACTTCAAGAGTGTATCAGTCTGTAGTGGAAGGAAGGCGGGGTAGGGGTACAGCCTAGGAAAGGTTGGAGGGAGGGAGTAAAGGAGGTTTTGTGTGCGAGGGGCTTGGACTTCCAGCAGGCATGCGTGAGCGTGTTTGATAGGAGTGAATGGAGACAAATGGTTTTTAATACTTGACGTGCTGTTGGAGTGTGAGCAAAGTAACATTTATGAAGGGGTTCAGGGAAACCGGCAGGCCGGACTTGAGTCCTGGAGATGGGAAGTACAGTGCCTGCACTCTGAAGGAGGGGTG